GGTGGGTCCCGGAGACAGCGGGAGGCCGCCCTCCGTACCGACTGCCCCGCGATCCCGCTCCTCCCGGGCAGCTTCCTGTACTGCTGCTCTCTAGTGACCCGGCTTGCGCGATCATTGTTATTCCCAGTGGTTGGGAGGAGCCCTGCGCGGGGGAAGGGGACTCCGGAGCCCCGGACTCGGCAGGTCATACTGCCTACGCTTACATGTTAGGGACAGGCACCGGGAGTGTCCCGGTGCAGCCGGCAGTGATCCGATCAAGCCCCTTAAGGTCCCACACTGGGTCCTCCATCACCCCGTGGTGATCTCCGCGGAAACCTCCGAGACTGGGAGCCCCCACCAGCGGGGCCGACTGCTGATTTCCATGGGGTGCTGAAGCCGGCGTGGGCTGTGGGGCCACGGACAGAGGACACTGGCAGGCAACCCGGACTCCCCAGTTTAGTCTAACTTCTACCCTCTTTATTAAACTTTAATGTGGAAAAAGATTTTAAGCGACTTGCCTTTCTTTTCTTGCTTATCCTCACATGTAAAGATTCTAGTGAGCAGATAAATGATCAAAAGCCCGGCAATAGTAAGACCTTGGCGGTGTGGAGGGCTTCAGTAGGCTACGAACCGAATAATCTACCCATTAATTGCAAAGAACAGACGAATTTCAGCCTATCAAGCGTAGGGCATTTCTGAACTCTACCATATTTCTGAACTGGAGCAGCCTTTGGTGGAAGGGGGCTAGTGGTGTTGCATTTTGGTAAATCTTTTCGTTGAGACTAGACTTTTCTTGTGCTTTGAGGGATAAATCCCTAATCCAGCATTTTATGATTACTATCACAAGGAAGCTCCAATGTGGCCATAGAAATCACAGTCATACTGACAAGTCTTGCTAGTGGAAACACTACAAATTTAAACAAAGGTTCAAAATAAATTATTTTTTTGAAAATAATTTATTCTGGATCCAGAACCCCACTAATCTTTCTGATTAACTTGTTTGAGTAACATACTCCATTTTGCTCTGCAACCACATTGTATTTTAAAATGTTAAGTCCATTGAGTTACAGGGATCAAAGAGACTGTTGTGCACATACATTTAAATCACATGTCCCTGATTTCTCTACATTAAATGGATTAAAAAAAAAACAACTAAACGCATAGAAAAAAGAGATCAGATTTGTTTACCAGAAGCAGGGGGTGGGAAGAGGGAGAACTGGAGAAAGGTGGCCAAAAGGTACACATTTCTGGTTACAAGATAAATCAGCACTAAGGATGTAATGTACAGCGTGATGCCTATAGTTAACACTGCTGTGTGATTTATAGGAAAGTTGTTAAGAGAGTAAATCCCGAGAGTTCACATCACTAGGAAGAAAAATTTTTTCTTTCTCCTTTTATTGTATCTGTATGAGATGCCGATGCCAACTTACTGAGGTAATCATTCCACGATATATGCACGTCAAATCATTATGCTGTATACCTTAAGCTTATACAGTGATGTATGTCAACTATATCTCAATAACACTGGAAAAAATGAATTTTTTCCATAAATAACTCTTCAAGGAATATGTGGATCTTTCTCAATACAGAAATGACTTACTATGATTTAGTCTTTGCCGTACAGGTTTTCTTAGGATCTATGACTCTAATACATGACAAAAAAATTGAAAAATGGAAAAACTCTGATTCCCAGACTTGTTAGGACCCACCCTAAATTTTATGACATTTGCAGATGGCTAATTGTATTAGTCTACTTGCGTTGCCATAAGAAAAAGATCACAAACTGGGTGGCTTAACATGAATTGATTTCTCAGAGTTCTGGAGGCTGGGAAGTCCAAGATCAAAGTATAGGCAGGCTAGAATTCTGGTGAGAGCTCTCTGCCTGGCTTGGACAGTGGAGAGAGCTGGGAGATTGGGGATAGGGTTGAGGGGAGGGTGTTGGATCTCACTCAGGTATCTCTTTTTATAGGGGCATTAACCCCCCTTTGTGATCTCATTTAACCTTAATTACCTCCTAAAAGCCCTGTCTCCAAATACAGTCACATTGGAAGTCAGGGCTTCAATGTATGAATTTGGAGAGAACACAGTACAGCTCCTAGAACTAGTCTTATAACTTCTTCCCCGTCCTGATCTTCTTTCTTTGGCCCTGATGTCACTATTTTGTCCCCCTGTTGTTTTTCTGACTCTGTTTCTGTGATTGGTTCTTCCATCATGGGGGATATTGGCATTCCCTACAGATCATTTCCTTTTCCTGGTGAAAAGAAAAAAAGAACTAATGTCTCTTGAATACCTATTAGGTGCTTGGTAATTTGTATAGTCATTCAGTCAGTTACCAAATTTGTTCTGAGTGCTAAATCTATGTTAAAAACCACTTGGGTCACTAAGAAGATGAAGTTTCTACTTTCATGACTCTTTTACTATAGGTGGAAAGATACCAAAAAAATAATATATAAAGAGTGCCATGAAGAAAAATAAAACATGGGAGGAGGGTGAGTGTTTTTTTTTCGATGGGAGAGGGAGTGTGGTCATGGAAGGCCTTTCTGATAAGATGACTTATGAGCAGAGATCAACGGGCATGAGGGAGTCAGCCAGGTGGAAACCAGAAGGAAGAGAGGCTAGCAGTGCAAATGCCCTGAGGTGAGAGCCTACCTGGCGTGTTTAAAACAGCCCAATCCAGTGGGAGAAGGGGTCAGAGAAAAGGAACAAGCCAGGTCACACGGGGCCTGACAGTTAAGAAGTTTTTGTAACATTTTGAGCTGAGAGTGATGTGATGTGACTGGCATTTAAATTGTTCACTTACCCTGCTGTAGAAGTGCAGCATGGTAGAAGCCGTGGGACTAGGTGGGAGCTGTTAGAACAGTCCAGGTAAAAGGAGGTGATGGTGATGGCAGTGGGAGAGGGGACGTATAATGGTTATGTGGAATGTCTGCAAGACGGTGCCATTGCCTGGGTATATCATCCTTTAAGATAACTATTAAGTCATTAATAAAAAAATCTGTTTCTTGAGGGGGGATTCTGGGAAGATGACAGCAGCAGCGTAATTGTTCAGTCTCCATGGGAAAGCAGACAAAGGGACTGTAAAGCAAAACCAAAAAACCCACGGACAATATCAATGACAAATCTAAGTGAAATGGTCTTCCCATGATTTCCAGAATATAGACAAGGAGGAGCAAACCCACAGCAGTTACAAGCCCTTCATAATATCAGCAAAGGGAATCAATGAGGCATCTGGAGA